ACTCGATTTTTCGCGGGATTACATAAGACTTCCAGAACACTCGAAAAAAGTTGCTAACTACTCTTTCGGCATCATCTAATTTCATCGCTCTCTCTAGACTCACGCGACAGAGAGGTGGGCGTAGGACTCCCCGTCTCTTTTTATAAAGCCAATACCAAAATAAACGATAATGCAAGAACAGATAGTGTTTCCACAAAATATAGGGACACTGGTGTCTGCCTGTTTAACTCAGGTAGTTCAGAGCGACAACCTTTTTAGTCAACAGCGATATAAATATAAAAAACGCGCATATATATTTTCCACCTTTCACTTCGATCTACAACTAGGTAGCACTCACGCTATGTGTCAATTGACAACACAGCAAAAATATAGTTTTATAAAACAAATAAAGGTGGACTGATACAAATTTATATAACTATCTTTTTTATTCATCAGTCATTGTTCATTGAATGAACTTTAGTGTGACGATTAAAGGAAAAAGAGAACTAGACAGGCTCGAACTTGCGGAACTGACGGTCCGGCTCTCGAAATGCTATCTCTATTCTTTTGTATCGGCGTCCTACTTCATAATCGCTTCAAAAAGTACACAAGAGGTACACACCACCAAAGCAAACAAACAAAATATAGCTAAATTAATATTCAACGAAATATGGCAAAACAACACATGTTCTGTCCACCAACCCCGTCGCTAAGGTCACATTGGGCAAATGGACCATACGATAGGATTATAGCATTTGGTCTGAAGCATTGGTAGCAGCAACAATAATATAATAGAAGCTCAATGGTGTTTACAATAGCTAATAACGGTGTTTTCCTTCAATAAACAAATACAAATACTTTTCTGTGTGAAAACGAAATAGAACCTTAACGTTACGGATGCGATCCTACTAAATTTGCCAATACGTAAACATTCAATGCATGCGACTGACAGTTTCACAGGTGTGATCTTCTATCAATTATTGATCAGTATTCGGATAATTATATCGCTGCTTTACGTTATACTATATAGAAATGTTTGTATCAAATCCATATAATAGATATCTTTTTTATCCCTACTTACTATAGTTATCTATACTAGCAAACTCAGTTAAAAGCTTAAAAGGGACAACGAACCGAACACAGAAACAGGTCATTCCGAAAGTCAAAACAGCGTTTATCGTATAGAAATGGAGATGAATTGAATGGAGAGACTTTCTACTCTGAATCAAGTTATTTTCCATTTAAACTTTTATGAAAAATATAAGCGTCATAATTTGACGGACTTCGCTTTTCGGATCAACTGTATGTTTAAGAACTACAAAATATTATTATAGTCGCTTTTCCTGCTGCACAAATAACAGATCGAACAAAAAGAAATCTATCTAAGACTATTTTCTTTTATAAAAATGTCATTAAAATGGGAAATTAAGGGCGACCAGCGTTTTAGGTTTCGAGTTAGTACAGTGTGATGCATGCTAACCGTTACTGGAACCCATTATATGATAACAGCATCGGGACACTACACAACACATTATAGTGATGAAGTGTACTAGGCACCGATAGATACGTCACGTATGATTTAAGCAGTCAATATCACTGTCATAGGTTAAATAACTCCGAAAGCACACCGCAACCTGAACTGCGCACACGTTACCAAATCACTATGTACACTCACCGGTTAAGTTACGTTTTTCACGCAAACTGGGTCACCGTGGTACACTGAGGCCGCAATAAAGTAAACGTGCTCACTGCTCACATAAAGTAATCAGGGAGTTTAGTAATTTAGAAAAATTAAAGTGGTTTGAGTGGTCTCTGTTAATTGGGCATTAGGAGTCCGAACTTGCTTTTTAGGTAACTGACCCTCATTAAAGAGTTTAAATGGCTATAAACGTCGTTTTCAAGCTGCAATAATGATAATAAGAGCCATCATCATATACAAATAAATACCATCAATCACCACCTGAAGTGCGTGTGTCCCGTCAGCTCAATACATCCGCGACGTCCTAGCTTGTGTGGCTTCGTTTTCTTTCGCGGTACATTATTAACCATTATACACCGTTTCTAGCTAGAGTTAAATTGTAATTATTACTGCGAATGCAGCAGTGATACAGGTGACTTGGTCTTCCGCTTTGCCCTTGGCGACACGACAAGCAGTTAGAAATCATTGCCAAGGTGCCATGTCTGTTCGCAAAGCTAATCTTACCTACGATATAGTGTAATTTATATGGCTCGCGGCGGCTTCTTTCGCCGTCGTTAAACCACCGCTAACCATAATTTAGCTGCGCATTCTTTGTTGTTTGTGACATATGCCACTTTCTATTCTATTCTATACGCCGAATAATTTGTTACTTTTTTTTTTTAGCTCTGCGCAATAAATTTAATATAGCTTAACAGTGCAAGACATTGAAGAGTTATACAAAATCGACTTCTGTTCGGCTCAGTGGAAGCATAGCTGGACTAATTAAGCGTAAGCCCCTACTACAGGGCTCTACGGTACCAATCGACGTAACTAAAACACTTCTTAATTTAAACTGCCTAATTTAGATCTTTAAGCTTGCTTCCAATGAATCGATTTGCGTACGAACTTTTGTGGCAATCAGTGAAGTAAGCCAATTTTCATACGAAGCTTGTGATAGTCGTAGTCAATAAAGTTCCTACTGATTCTCGAAAGAGAAAAGGCAACCCACGCAAATCGTTTGTTAAGTCTCTTATAACAAAGCAATAGTCTCTTTTAATCGACAGCCAGGCTTTCCGTCGACACCCACTCAAGCATAACTTATATAGTGCGCGATTCTACGCGAGACTGCCCACATTCAAATGAATGCAATGAAAGTCCATCAGTTTGGGTGGGACTCAGCCTAAAATAAAAGCTGAGACGTTTCGGTAACGGTCGTTATGGCGATAGGTCCTTTACTTTGATTTGATTTTTTTCATGTTTCCGCATTCATCGCTTTAGCTGTCTTCATTTTCATACATCATGTCTTATACAATCAACAGGCCTAGTAAAATAAATAGTAAATATACACTATCGTCTTCGTTATGTGCTATCATTTTATGTATGCGATATATATATATATATATAAGATTGCGTCACAGCGCAGCGGTCTATGGTGCATCTGTCTTAAGTCTTTTAGTATATATAT